CGACAGTAAATGTTGGCATACTGCGGTCGTGTTGTAGAGCAACTCGGCCGCGCCTTCCGAGTAATGTCGACCTATAAGACCACAGAGCTCGGTATTGATCCTATCCCGTATTTGCCACTCTGAAACAACCACCCCCGCAAACTAGGGCACAGCTGATGCTACGACGACTAACAACCGACTGCCGGAGTTTGCACGATAAGGGTGCTTTGTAGAACTGGTAACTGGTAGCACATCCATTGCAACCGATGAAGGCCATCGCTGTTCCGATGGCAGGGCGGTGACATTCATGGGAATTTGTCTAGTAAGTCTACTTCACTTCGCTCTTCCCAAGTCCTCGGCCTTCTAACGGCAGGACAAGGTCAAGGCAACAGGAGACGCGAGTGGGCTGACTGACTGGCGAATCTAACTGGCCCCTCTACACGCGACATACAGGAACCATTTCAAGGACCAGTCCCCAAAGGAATATTGTTTCGGATCTCACATTAAAAGGCCACGTTAGGAATAAGCTCTTATGACCGGGTTTCCAGTCCGGGGGACCGAGTTATACAATCGGCTGGCAACACTAGGGTTCATGGCTACTAGGATGTCTGGGCAATTTCAAAGCGCATGAAATTTCTATAGGGGGAGCAAGCGCCAGATCTGAGTTAGATTGACCTCACTCGCTTTTCCGTTTCTTATGCGCTAACGACTGATGTGACGTAGAGAGGCCACCGAACGTTTATCACACACGGATTTCGACCGCACGATCGTGAGAAGAGTCGTAAATGTCATGTTGGGGAAGGGAAAATTACAGTCTGAATCTTGCTCCAAAGGAGGGTCGAGTTATCCTGCCGGCTGGTAACCTCCCAAACCATGACTCTTAACATATCGAAGTCCAAAGCCCGTCATATTTATTATAGCATGGAATGCACTAAATTTCCATACTGAAATTACCCAAGTGCCGGCCTCTTTCCCTGTTCCTTCTTACGTACTTTAGTGTCTTTACCTGGCCTGTTGGCCTATTTCTGATGTGATTGGGTGTATTTCTTGACGCGAGGTGAGCCCAAGTCTAATTCGTGTTGGGTGGTTCGTAAAGACGGAGACACGATCGTTGGAGCCCGAGTTTCATTCGCTTGACGTTTCGGATTCCTACCCGAACTCACCATCGGGGACATGAGCAGATACGGATAGTTCAACAGAGTCGTGCCGTGAACCCTATTTTGGCCTGGCACGCCGACGACATAGCTCGCTTTCGTGGGCAGAATCGCTTGCCACCAAGGCGTGAGGAGCATTAAGATTAAAACTGGACTCCAGAAGTTATTCCATGCCTACAAATGGAAGTTTGACTCGAAGCGTAGCTCCTGATCGTCGTCAGTGCCTTCATTGACACATTTCCTCTTATTTTCTTTCAACAGGGACCTGCTAGTTTCGACTATAGGTTTTATTCAGAAGAGGGTCGAATTAAAAGTGGGTAGTGGTAATCGTCCTTACCGACATTCCGTAGGCAGATCTTAAAAAATCTAATCCAGTTCCTGGACTTCCCCAAAAAATAACAGGACATCTGGAAAGTTCAGTCCAGGTGTAGACGGCGCCAGTCCCCGTCTGTTTGTGCGCCGCGTAGCTGCTCTTTCCGTGCTTGGGCATTCACGGATGAGATGTAAAAACAGGACCGGCTATCCAGCCTGATAACTATCCTTTTCTTTGCATCAAGAAGTTCGTGCATTCTACACTTTCATACTCGGAGTAAGTTATACTATGAGCTACTTTGTCTTTCCAGTCGTGCCTTCAATGGACTTCTTTACTCTTCCTTGTCCTTTTTCAGCCAGAGTGCACCTTGCCCTACTAGTACTCCCTTTCCCTTCAGAATTATGGACACCCTGTCCTCCAACAATAATGCTGCCTGCTAGGGATCAATTCATTTTTCAGAATGGGTTTGCTTATTTTGCCCCTAGCTTTCACGTAAGGTCGTTCCCGTATCGCCCGCACATAAATGCACATGCAAGCAGCCATTCTAAATGATAAGGCTTTTAATCCGGAGGCTATTTTTGGGTATACAGGACGTTAGCCCTCATGAATTCTCTAAATCTATGAGGATACGTAAAGACTAGATTCTTATGTGTACTGGCGACTTAAGGGGAGATGTTTTTTTCAAAATGACGGCAACTCAGTGTAGTGGACCTATGCGCTTACCTTATTTGGGTTGTGCAATACCAGTCTGAGATTCTATGTTCCTGAGTGCGATCACGGAGAGGCAAAATGTCAGTTCGAATCTCGCTAATTAGGTTGAGTGGAGGTCCACGAAAGGCCGCCCGCTTTATGTGTATTACAGCTGAAACCACTATTTGACGGTGTACATAATAGCGTTTGCGAGAAATAATCCTCATAAATTGCTCTTCAAAGACTTATTGTACGGACTGACAGCACCACCCAACCGACCCGTGCAACCACTATGTCTTTGGCCAAACGAACTGCCATGGTACGCATACTTCGGATGAACTTGCCGAGGGCAAGTGACACCAACGCCAACAACCTCGCAGACAATGACATCAAAACAGATTTACATGAAGAGATAGCCCTGTAGCCTCCATTGATTAATTCCCCTTTCCTGTTGTCTGTCAGTCTGTTAAAACGTTCATGCTTAGCACAACGTGTGAATGCCAGTTGGTAATGGACAGGTAGATGTATGCTACTTCCTCCGTAATCTGGCCATAAAAATAAGATACCCTGATTCGGACATGCTGTTCGTCGCACATTGGACGAGTTCAGATCTGACATGTTAACCACTTCTGGGCGGAGAGACTGTCAGGAAGAACCTGGAACTCCTTATTGATAGTTGACTCGTCTCCAGTACAGACACATGCAAATGGTTGGAGGAAGGGTGTGACTTGCGCACGATTTTGCTCATGGTGAGGGACACATACGTAGCACATAACTCATTCCCTGCATTAGTCATTTTGTACTGGCAGAATAAGGTCAAGATCATTGGAGATGATCGTGGACACAGTGTCCCGCTTGAGGTAAAGTTGCCGTCCACGCGCGCTACACATGGGCGTCATTTAATATCCGTCTAAGCCCTAATCCCTAGTGCGCTCTGACAGTTTAAAAGTGTGCCAGACCTTACAAAATGTGGACGGCATACACGTGCGGTCAACCTCATTTTTTCTCTGCCCCCCACCATTATGTTCCAGTGGCAAGTCCGGGACAAACTGACTGAAGATGTGACCAGGTGCATTAGATGATGTAAAATGAAGTCCTGTTTCACAAATACCGCGCCTTTTTTCAGACCTTTCAGGTCTGACAAAACAGCACCATACAACAGCTTAAGTGTGAGAACATGGATGGTGATAGTAGAAAGTGCTTGATGTTGTGGCAAAGTTCAGGTTCAATCGCTACAGGTGATATGCTATACTAACTGCTCAGGCCACCAGCGACCGAGGCATTGGCAGGGAAAAGGTCCGCCTAAATACGTACCATAATGAGCAAGGTCATCTTGAGTTGTCATCTGACGATGCTAAAAATTTTAACCGTGACCGATATCAAAAACCGGCCTCGCTAGTCCCATCTTTAGGCCATTTAAATGAGACTGGCAGTGAATAGAGTTCCGAAAATTTTCGCTGACGCAAAGAACGGTTGAGAGCAGCATGTACTGGTGTGGCTTGCACAAGACAACGTGGCCGCATCCTGTGACTCGGGAGCATTTCTGGACCGGGTGCTCATTTAGCTCCTCACGGATGCGCAAAAGGTTAACCGCAAAGCCATGTTGGACTGTAAGCGCTAATGAATTCATCCAGGAGCTCAACGGGTACGATGGCTCTGGTCGACCAGCCTGGACTGTCGCTTCTGTCAAGACTTCCAATACTTGTTTTCAGCGCTAAAAGAGTCGACAATGTGAGCTCAGAGAATCTGACCTACGTAGCAGCCTTACCAGAGTTTTAGTAATAAGATGCCGTCTGGCTAGTCGCACACTGGCTGCTAGGCTGCCAACTAGTTTATGCCAATGACTTGGCACAACAGACAAGGGACATAAGATAATGTTGGTTTCGGCGAGGTATGTTGATCCGCACTTCCTCCAACAAAGGCTGATCAGCATGACGTCTAACCAGCATTTCCGGTGGTAACGACACACTGTAACATGATCTACACCGCTCGGAAAATTTCATTTCCGTAAGTACTCACTACCCATAGCTAAAAGTCAATCGTGTCAGAAGAAGTGGGAGAAGGAAGGATAACAATCCGCCTTAGCACTCAACAAAACGCTCAGTTGGCTGCTGGCAAGCGTGTACATTCCTGCGAAGACCTGAACACCGAAAATATTTGAGAAACGACTCGTAGGAAGACCACTAGGGCGGATCCCCACGACAAGACAAGGCGACGCGATTAAAGTCAAGTAGTCTAAAATAAGTTTTTAGGTGAAAAAATGAGACAGAGCGATGGAAAGACCGCGGAACTGCGAGGTACTCGTGGAGATGTCGAGTTTGATGAGACTCAAAACTAGTGACGAGAATCGGGATTGCTTTAGTCTGACAGTCGAAGTTGTCTAATGGACGCGCGAGGATTGAATCCTCTCAGACATGCCATCAATTACCGGACGTTTGCAGGATAAACAAACGCGTAATGCAAGGGGACAGATGATAAATAAATTTATGTCTTCCATTGGACCTTCGATCCGCAGCACTCATCGGGCAGGTACCTTAGATGAGTGCACAAGCATGATATAAAAGACGTAAATGAGATCATGCTTTTAGAAAAAATGTAGTTACTCACAAAAGTGGAATGATTTAGCGGGTAAACGACGCTTACTCGCCTAATATTGCACGGAAGGGTGTAGAAATCTGCCTTGAAAACATATGCAGAGGGGCATGCATATGAAATCAAGCGAATTCGTGCATGAGATACTAACGGGTGTACTATACAAGGTAAAATAGCAGAAGAAGAGATTTACAGAGATTATAAACAAGGGAGTAATGTCAAATGGAGCGGATAGACACGATAAGGGTGAGTTAAGTTATTGTTAAATGCACCTATGTATCTGCCGTGGGGGGCAAGGATACGTCAGCAGAGACGGATGACACGGCAGTCGGCAGAGCAACATCAGTGATAGGTACTCGAACCGGCACAATACATTGTTTAAGCGCAGATCGCCTCGAGTGTTTAAAGGGGGGGATTGAGTCGGTCTGGCTCACGTTTCCCGATGAAAAAAACTGTACTGTGACCGCCGAACTGTCACCATCCGACTGATCGTTTGCGCTGCAGTTGTCCATCTCGTCGTCTGCTATACACAGCTGGGCCTCAAAGGGGGAGTCCTCCTTGTACTCACCACTACTCCCGTCGTCCAATTGTTGACTGTCAGTGTCGTTTCCGTCAACGGCGTCATCTGCATCCACTAGATAGGTTGCCTCGTTAGCAGAATCCTCTGTCCGCCCCTGGACGGCGAATTCAGATGAAGGTGGACCAGCCGGTGTAGCGGCTTTCATTTTACCGTTCGCACATGCAAGGGCGGCGGTACGTGTGGTGTGAAGGATAGAACGCACATGGCGTTTCTTGTCCTCAAGTCGAATAAACTTTTCATCACATACCTCACAAGTGTAGGGCTTTACACCTGTATGCAGGCGTTCGTGACGCTCGCGACAAAACTTACGGTTGAAACTTTTCCCACAGTACCGACATTTGTAAACCTTGCTGTGCACAGAGTCCGTGGATCCAACAGTGGGACGATTTAAGGCTATGGAGATCGGAGGCACATGCGCAGATTTAGTGGCTGGATTCGGAGCAACGAGAGCCAACTTCGTATTGCTCTTCTTAATTGGAAATTGACACTTTGAAACCATAGTACCAGAAGTAGTGGAATGATTTACAATCTCTTTGTTTTCGTCTGTAAGTTTCGCGGACTGTAAAATGTCGATGGGTTTTAAGTCAGAGGACCGCTTGAGACCATTTGACACGATCAATTTGCTTTTACCTGAGTCCGAGGCACGCATCTGTCCACGAATTGTCTCCAGAATGCGATCAATTGTCGGATCCTGAGTTTCTGAAAACTCCCTTGAACCTTTCACAATCCTAGATTGCTCCGTAGCATCGGTAGGCGGACGCGGCGATATTTCGCTAAAAGCCGGACCATTGGAAAGTGACGGAATAACCGATATTGTGCTGGAACCGGCAAGCGTTGGTTGAACAATATTATTGCGGACAAGCGATTTTTGAATTCCACTCCCAGTGGCAACGACACGCTGAATAATGCTTTGAGGCGACACATCAATTGCAACATTAGGTTGGGATGAGCTTACAGCGGGACCTGATTCGCCTGATGTCGGCTTGGCACAGGATAACAAAATCGACCCCGGGACCGGACCAGGAGTTATCGTAGGATTTTTGGGGAAAACTCCCGTGACAGCTGCTACGGCAGCCGCAAGAGTATTTATATCGACAGAATTAGTGGATATGGCGGTGTTTACAGGGGAGTTTACGGTGTCCGCCGACACCATGGATAGAGAGGAACTGGTTGTTTGGTAGGGATTTGAATAGCCGGAAGTCGAGAAGCCAGGAGATTCATTTAAAGACTTCTCTGTAATAACAGCGATCGTATTACCAGAGGTCGCAGCAGAGACATCTGAAGACTGTTTAAACTGGACCAGCCCTCGCAGCAACGCAGCAATGGCAGACACATTGTTTGAGATAGAGGCAGATGCGCCAGGTCCGTTATTGACCCCACTAAACGATAATGAACCACGGTTGTTGGTATTATTAATTGACAGGATGGTTGCAGGTAGACTGCTTGTTAAAGACGAGATAGTTGATGGAAGATTGCCAATCAGCGTGAATGTTGGCTGCTGGGAGATCAGTAGAGGAGTAGCAGGGGGTTGCTGTGATGCCTGAGTTGTCGGAGTCTGTGTAGTATGCGACAGAGGTATGGAAACAGGTGATGAAAAACTGGCCGCTGACACCGTACCTGTATGAAGATTGTTTTGTTGTGAGTTGATACCAGAGCACCGAAGTATGTTGACGCATTGCGAAGAATTGTGAGCCTGACTGTTCGCAAAGCCAGAAGACTCGGGCTGAGAGGGTGCAGGAATAACTGATTCCGTCGAAGGACTGACCGCTTTGGGTGAACACAATGAACCGTTTAGAGAATCAGGAGCAAGCATATTCTGAGGAGATGAGGCGGAAATAGGCGGAGTAGGCGATGAAGCAGACTGGGAGTTAGGAGGCGAGAGAGCGACAACGGTGTTTGATTTTGCATCAGGAAGTGGGCAAGCAGAGTTGGAAGAATTTATTGTGGCAATTACAGCAGATCTAGCAGTCGAAACCTCCACGGCTATGTTCTTTTGGACTGGTACGAATGTATCAGAAGCTGGATTCGTTGTCGACAGTTGGACAGCCCTTGTTGAACTAGAAACTAAGGGATCAGCTGAGTTCGAGGTCAAAACTGTTGGGTAAACATTTTCCAAATCCTGTTTGTTAATCATGCAACTCAAAGTAAACTCTCCAGGTGAGTCAGTAGACTGTGCACATTGAAGAGAGCCCCGCTGATGAAAGATGGACATGTTTCCACCGGAAGGACGAACACGCTTAATCGGTGAAAAATCGCGGTTACTCCTATCTACGTCTGAGTCATGGTTTTGTCCAGTTACGAAGCTCAAAGGAACATTATGCAAGTCAGGGGAATTAGGCAACACAGTACAGAGGTGAATAGACTGGGGAGGTAACAGTCCATTTGCATCGGACACCAGGACAGCTGGGCAGTCATCCTTCACATTTAGATTGGTAGGACACAATACTCTACAAGAATCTGTACCATGAATGAGACGTGGTTTCTTGAGGCTGCTAGTTGAGTCCATATGCTCATCTCCACTATCATCTAGTGATTCAGATTCGTATTTCCGGGCATTTTTGTAATTATGCGGTAGGACCTGGCGGCGAGGTTTACTAGATTTTCGCCTGTCACGGCGGTCTTGGCCTCCACATTCCGTCGTATTACCAGTCGAATCAAACTCGTGCGTTCCTCCAACTTGGAACACTAAACGTAACATAAGACAAGTGTCTAAATAACTTACCAGTTCCAACAGTTGGAGGTGTCGAAACGCATCTTAAATTTACTGACAAAGGTGCCAGAAGAGGCGGTGACTCAGCTGGTTGCGACCGGCTTTCGATAATGTCCACAGGGCTGAACAGGGCAGACGCTTGTTCGAAAGGTGAAATTTTGCCCTTGGGGGAGGAAATACGGCGACTACATTCAGCGGAATGGATAGCATTTGGTTCGTGGGTGTTGCCAGCATTGTAGGAAAAATTTATTTTCACGAACTTCTCCTGATTTCCATCAACAGTATATGAGATAATTCCCATGACGTCTAATTTATCGGAAAATGATATCCTTTCCTCAAAGAGATGACGAAGTTGGGATTTCAGTAAATTATCCAAAGGGACGTCTTCGCTCCCCATAACTAAGCCTAAGTAGACGGTCACCGCGAGAATTAACAGCGTCCACGGTAATTCGCGGCTAACCTTCAAATGAACTATGCTTACGCGTTTGATAGAGTAAAACTAAAAACAACGCAATGTCAGCTTTCATTTATTTCCAGAAGCCGTATTATCAAGGGCTTGTCTGGTTTCATGGAATGACTAACTAACGTTCTTGGAAAGTACAAGAGAGGTTTTAATTTTTAAAAAAGTCGAGTGAATTTTAGCTTGGAAATGCATCTGGACGGAGTCGCAGGATGGGAAACCATCAAATGTTATGATGGTGCCGTAGATTTTGAAATGTGGGCTACTGCTAGTCTGCCACGTAAAAATGTCTATAGGTCTCCGTTAGGTCAAGCAAAAAATTTATTACTTGTAATTAACTCCCAAAATGTAAATAAGGAATATTTATTTGTCCTGTAAACACCTGTTAGTAGTCGGATAATTGCTGCACATAAATTTGGTTCTTGGAGTATGCAAATATCTATGCATTTATATCGTGGAATCGACGATAACCGTTAAGTTTATGGGAGGTGCTCATCGCGTTACGTTGTAGCATGGCCGGCAAGCAGCATGCTAAGATATTGACCATTTTAGACGGCTGCAGATAGGACAACGAATGCGCGACTGACATCTAGAGCGCTGATGTCCTTTAAGTTTAATAAACAAGGTCCTCGATTCAAATTTAAATCTTGCGAACATATTGCCCTCCAAAAATTTGAACCACGAGGTGCTCGGCAGGTCATGGGCCCCCCCCCCAATTTTAGGCAGTTATCAGAATTCTTGCAAGTTCATGAGTCCATTAGTACATTTTGCTTGTTAAATAAACCTCATTGAAACGAGGGTATGTGATACTATCTTTAGAAAATAGCCTTCTTAGTCGATATGCTCTGTCTTGGTGTTGTGGTGACATGATAAGGCGTTTCGTTTTAGTGCACCAAAAATCTGCTACAACTCCCAATGTCCATTTATTATCAAGTCGCGTTTTAGTGGTTACTTTGTTTCTTCTAATTATATCCGCGTATATATGCGCGCATACTTATCCTTTAAGTCCAAGCATCGAACAGTTTATCTATCACATTGGTGACTCCGTGTCGTTCATAATGCCTTCTGTTCTATTTCTGTACTTAACCATTTCCATTCGGATTCCTTCCCGCATTACTTTTCATCGCTCACATTATTCTGGCTAGACCTTTTTCGCTATCCGCGCTGTCTCACCCTCTCAACCAATACGATGACTAACTTTCACTCTTTGTATCAACGCGCCAGTCATCTACCCCAATTATTTGACCACTGACCGACATGGGATAATCATGTACAACGACCATACTTACCAGCGGATAACCGGTATTCACACTTTCCACATTCCAGCCGTGTTGCTTGCCGATATTGCGTTATGGTTACACGTTTTAAAATCCCGTTTCGCCCCCCGCTAGAATACTAGGCAGGATACGAAATTTCGCTACAGTGCGGCAGCGTTGCCAATGGATATCGCCACGGACCTTCGCGTCCAAATAAACCCCACGCATTGCCCTAAAGGAGGCTCTCACCCCCTTCATCTCCCTACAAACACAGAAATGTCTGCAGTGTTTGATTTCCGAGGAGGACCTTGGTGATAGGAAGCCTTCACAGCTTTATAGGCGTCTGGAGCAGCTGCCAGGCGGACAAAATCTTGATGCCACGGTGTTCAAACAACTCCTCCTCCAAAGCTTGTCATCTTATTTTCAAGCTATCCTTACGACTAGCATTTCTTTTCGTCTGTTCAGATGTCTGCAGAGACTTCTAACCGCATCCTCGAGTACTTCCGGCCCCTTTCTACAATAAATGTTGCTAGTTGCAGTGACGCCAAAGGTGCCTATAATCGAGAACGTTATAAAACATTTAAACGGCCTCGCCCTTGAATTTTCCAGCTTCGTATCTTGCGTGTCTCTCGCCGTCGAGGTCCGTCCATTGCTCACCATCAGAGACCTGCCGCTGCAGTCAGGTCCGTCGACGCCTGGCGGTTTCTGCTGGTACCACCACACCTATGGGTCAAATGTCATCACTGCCAATCCCCATGTCTTTATGAAAATGTTCGGTAGAATACCCAACTACTAGCGCGTTACGGCGACAAACATGGTCGGTCCAAGCTCACCGAGTCGCCTACTTCACATTTTCGACAGAAGTTCCTGCCGTAATTTCCTCGTTGGACAGTCTTTCGGACATCAGTCTAAATTCAACGTCCCCAAATGACCGCAAGTCACCTGACTCTTAAATTTTTCTTCAGGCAGCTAATAGTAGCCCTATTGAAACATTTTATCAACGATCCCTAACTTTTGACCTTGGCGCACGAAGTTTTTTGGCTGGATACTTACTCTCTGATGGCATACCGTCGTACTCGCTGCCGATTTTATATCCAATTGAGGATTCCTCGTTTATATCAGGTCCCATAGACGTGTTGAACCGATGGCATCCTTGTACTCTAATTGTTCAGCTCGTACCGATCCATCCATCAGCCCATGCATTTCAACAATTCCTTCGTTCACTCTCTATCAGTCTTTGCTTTCGGAATTTCCGTCTATACTGTGATCTCCACTGCTTGACCAGTCCATCAAACATTCCGTCACGAGACTACGGGATTGCCTGTTTTCAGCCATCCTCGTCGTTTTGCGACAGACAAGTTAGCCATCAAAAGGTCGAATTCAGCCATATGATGGAGCTAAGTATAGTGCGACCCTCCATTAGTCTGTGGGCCGTCCCCCGCCGAATGGTTTGCGAAAAGTCTCTCCAAGACTGGCGTCCATGTGATGATTGCCAACGATTAAGCAACTGTACAGTCCCTAACAGATATCCGCCTCCCCAAGTCCATAACTTTTCCTCTAGCTTAGCAGCAGCAATAATATTTCACTGTATTGTCCTAGAAAGTCCTTCCACCAGATCCCCGCCGCTCCAGAAAACATCCCAAAAACAGCGATCACGGCTTCATTCGGTCTTTTTAAATTCGTCAGGAAGCATTTTGGACTTCGTAAATCCGCAGAAACTTTTTTAATTACCAAAGTCATTCGCGACTTACCTTTTGTTTTGGTTAAAAACGATAATATTCTTGTTGCAAGTTCCAGTGAACATCAGAACCTAAAACATCCATGTCTCGTTTTCGAACGATTAAGTCAACTTGGCGTTTTCACAAACGCCTCTAAGTGCTTTTCGACGTTCCCTCACTTTTATTCCTAGGAGACGGCGTAAATGCTTTCGGCTGTCATCCCGCAGACGCCCAAGTTTCAATTATCCGCGAGATCCCTGCTCCCACTTCTTCCCAACCAGCTCTCCGTTTTATAGGCGTTGTCAGTTTTTTTTACCGTCGTTTCATCCCTCACTGCACCCAATTAATGGTACCCCTGGCAAATTTTTCACAGGACAACAACCACGAATTTTCTTTTCCTGGCACAGCCGTGGGCGGCTCCCAATGTGTCAAAGAGACCCTGGCGGGTACAATTAATCTTTCTCACCTTCTTACTTACGCCCCGCTCTCCACTGTTGCCGACACCTCCAACTGTACCATAAGTGCAGACTTCCAGCAACAGACTAAAAGGGGCATCCGAACCATATCCTTCTATTGTGCTAAACTGAAACTGCCCAAACTAGCCATAACTCTTTTTTATTCATTTCGCTACTAGCAATTTTCGCAGCTACGTTAAAGGCAGAAAATGGCTTATTTACACTGACCATAAATTTCTTACTTACGCCTTCTACATTCCCTCTGATAAGCATCCACCCTGTGGGGCCTGTTACCTTCATTTTACCTCTCAATATACCATGGATATTCGTTTTCATATAGCCTCATCTAATCAGATGCCGAATCTCTATCCCGACCTGAAATTAATGCCTTTATTCGCCCTTCCGTCGTCAAGGAATGCATGGCCAAGCTGCAGCAGTAGCCAAATTTTTCTGAATAACTGGAACATACTGCCCTTTAAATCGAAAAGACCCCCCCGTTCACCGCTGTTAGTGCAATCATGTACGATGTGTATAGCGGCTTCTCTCGCCCTATAGTATCATGCGAAATGTGGCGAGATGTTTTCGCCACGTTACACAATCTTGCTCACCCTAGAATCCGAATTGATCGGTGCCTCGTCAACAATTGTTTGCTCCACTCCCCGAGACTTTAGCCCTACCAAGCACAACGAAAATATTCTACGCTAAAACTGAGATTACTTCGACTTGGTTACCACTTCACAGTTACCGTCTCTGACATTGATACTGGGACCGTTCGTACAGAATTGCTTTGTGTATTTTTGAAATATTTTTTCACACGTCGAAATTCGTCAGCAAACTGAGCCAAGTGCAATCTGCCTATCAGCATGGTTCAGCTGATTACGCAGCCAACTCGCGGTTATTTACGGCTTAGGAAAACAGTCGCTCAAAATCCGTCAAGGTATGAAGTTATTCAAGTTCTACGATATCTCTGAAGGGCAAAGTCGATTCTGATGAAATCCCATAAAATTTATCATATTTTAAGTATTTTTTCGTTTACTGAATTTTGAATACTCACTTCGTCATATACAATTCGACGTATTCGTTATAACCACGAAGGCAAACAAACGCCTATTCCCTCATATCGAAGTTTATGGAGTCTCAGCAATCTAACTGTAATAGCACGGCCAGCGACGACAACTAGTTGGAAAACAAGTCTGGTGAGATGTTCTTCGCATCCAGAACCTGCGCTCGCCCTATCTGCGCTTCCAGCCAACGACCAGCAAAGCGTGCCAAAAACTTAATTGTCGTGAAAAGTGTGAGGTATGAGGTCGAGACATGTGTTGGGTGCCCACATATCCAAATTAAGGTAGAACAACTCGAAAAGGAGCTTACTGATTTAAGGACGCACATGAAACAGAATCTCGATGACCAGAACGTCTCCAGTGTTAGAGTTCAAAAAAAGAGAAAAACGCAAAAAAGGCGAAAAATATCTCCTCGGGGTCATCTCCAGACGCGGGTTGCAAGTCAGTAGATACAACCGCCGATGCCTGTAACAGCAGGACAACGAAAACGAAGCCGCCGATAAGGGCAGACTCGATTCCCACGCAAGATGACTTAAGTGATGTCACAAAAAATATTACCTGGCGCGGAACCCATCTCGCCTAAGCCTCTTACTGTAAGTAACAGGATTTCTCGTTTGCCCAGAGACGATATAACTAGGTCATCCAGTCTACTGTTATACCCTTGTTCTCGCAACCACCCCGAGCGCACTACAGAGCACGTATTTGAATGCGAGGACATGCACCCGTGGGTATAGGGGAGAGGGAAACGCCATGACAGGAGTTTGAAGTCACAACCAACTCTGATGGGTTGCTCGGGACAGTCGGTCGACAGCAAAAGTGTGCGTCCAAGCGACGACTCCGTAAATCGTCCCCGCCCACATGCAGAGAATTCACCTGAAAGACGAAATCAGGAGGACCATGATCGCCAGCAGTGTCTGGTTATTCAGGGCTTGTCGGAATCGAATGCAGTCAGACCTGAAGACCGTGTCTCGGAGAATCTTGCTTCCTTTCATGGTCTACTAAACCAGTTACTCCAGACAGACATGAAGATAGAGGTTATGAAAGCATTCCGGATAGGAAACGGAGTAAAGACAGGACAGCAGCATGACCACCTCGCCCTCTCAAAATTATGTTGGAGAACAAAGGGCAAAGCAAGTTGATCCTCTCACAGAGAACTGACCACAGAAGCACACATAAACAGGTTATTTTCAACCTGACCACTCACCAGCGGAACGGCTGAAATGCCAAAAACTCGTCTGGAGTTAAAATCAAGACTGAGGCGTGGCGAACACAATCTGGCTATCATCAAGGGGAAGGTAGTTCGGAAATATATGCCGTTTCAATGGAACCAGCCAGTAATTCTAATAACGACGGCAGCTACTCAGCTAAAACAGACACCTTCGTGAAGCCAGCCGCTCGAGGCGGCAACACAGGTTAGCCCTTAACGTTCAGCGTTCTGACTGAAGCAAGCGACATTAATAGAACGCATCAAGTAACGGAAGATTCCAGAGAAAATGTCGTCCAAGATAACACAGTAACGCCCACTACAGTGACAAATGAAGTTGAACATTCGACTGGTGCAAAATTGAGGTGCTTGTATACAAGTGGCCAAAGCCTCGCATCGAAACTAGACGAGCTAAAATTTTTCCTTGCCGTGCTGCAGTAACCGAAGCCTGGCTGTCCGGGAATATTAGCGATAGCGAAATAGCCTTGACTTGATACCAAACTTATCGGAGGAACAGGGAACATCGTCAGGGTGGTGGTATAGTTGTGTATGTGAAGGAGGACCTGTCAGTGTCGGAAAACACCACCAAGTTTTGCGTGCGGCACGGAAGCTATTTGGTTAACCATCAAGGCTACTGGTTCCGCCTGTCTCGATCTTTTCGCTGTCAACAGACCACCTAGGACAGACCAACTCGCCGACACTCAACTATTGGAGCACTTGGAGAAATTTTCCAGTCGACCTAACATCATGCGCATGGGCTACTTCAACACAGCAGGACCAAACTGGAGCACCCTCCATGCGTAAGATCCACAATAGGCATTCGATTACCGTCTGCTGAACAAAACATTAGAGGCGTCCCTCACACAACATGTAATGTTTTCAACGAGAACACGTGAAGAACAAAGGGCAAACTGCCTGGATCTGGTTTTTACGAAAAAATTAGACAGCATAGACGAGATCACCTCCATGCCGCTCGTTGGCCGAAGTGACCATGTAGTGCTTATGTGGGATTATTTGTTATTCTCCATTTCGCATACCCCAGACCAAAAAAGATGCAATGTTTGGCGGGGTGACTTCAATGAAATGAGGGCAGACATATCCAGTCTCGACTGGGGCTCATTGTTTACAGGAAATGCCAACGATGACTGGGAGTTGTTCAAGAATATCCTTCTGCAGCTCATCAACAACCACTGCCCACTGACTACTGAAAGACTGGACAAACGCCCTGGGTGGCTAAATAGCCACCTTAAGAAAGAAATCAACAGGAAGCACAAATTGTGGAGAAAATTCTGCGTCACTAGGAAAGTTGAGTATTTCAACACCTATGAGACACAGAGGACAAACTGAGAAAAAATGATTATAAAAACGCTCTGCGAATTCGAGAAGAAATTGCTACAAAAGGCAACGCAGAACCCAAAATTACTCTACAGCTTCCTCCGACGAAGTAGAAGGAACAGACATAAAATCCCCTTAATAAGGACTACGGATGGCGTTGAGGTTGCTGATATTAGGTATAAAGCTGCGTATTTTTCACAGTTTTTCCAATCAGTCTACACAAACGAGACAAAGTTCCTTCCTCCGTCCATAGAAGAACTGCCGTCCCCAAGCGTCAGTGATACATTCTTCACAGATGGCATTCAAAGAAGAGAATTAGAGGCACTGAACGAATCGAAGTCGCCAAAACCAGACGG